CAAACAGGACTTTAATATCACCAACCATTCCCATGTTATTACGGTGTATCCATATAAATGGCCCACCCTGTAGTTAGCACCATTGCCTCACAGCAAGAAGTTCAACCCCACCATCTGTCTGGGGCCTTTCTGTGTGAAGTTTTCATGTTGTCCTCGTGGTTTGCGTGGGTACTCCAGCTTCCTGACACAGTCTAAGGACATGCAGTTAGTGGGGGTTAGGTTAACTGGTGATTGCCCATAGATGTGAATGTGAATTGTTGTCTGTCTCTCTGTCCCTGCAACAGGCTGGCTCTTGCTCTATGGTAGCTGGGATACACCCCATCTCCCCCATAACATGAACTGGATAAGCAGAAGAGAATGAACACAATTATTTTAGATATGATGCGATAAATGAGTGCATGTGTTAAATCCAGGAGATTGACAAGGAAAACCCACGGGAGTCAAACAGTCACTACAACACAACAACAGCAAACACAAGCTAACTGAGGGTTTGAATATACAAAAGATAATGAGCGAAAGGGAGATGGGAGAAGACACAAACATGGCTAAAACTAATCACAGAGGATAAAGGAAGTAAAACTAAACACAAGGGAAAAGGTGACAAAAGCAAACAAAATTAAACAGGAAGTAGCACAGCAGGAGCACATCTAACACAGAAACAAAGGTTTATTAGAGCCAAGTAACAATAACTAAGGTTATCTGCAACTAAATTTAAGAACTGAAAGTGCTGTCCATACTTCAGAGGGAAAAGATGTGTATCTCTGTGCATTTTCTTTGTGTATGTGTGTGGCTGTGCCTCAGTCCCTCTGGGACATTGTTATTAGGGGTGGAGGGTTCCCCCTCCCTGCTGCTCCCCACTGGTCATTGCTTTCAGGTGCTTTATATTGTTTGAATGTGTTTTGTTACAGATGCAGCAGTTGTAGAGCAGCACACCTGTTTGTTTCATCCCAAGCCCCCCTCTCTCTTTCTTTCTTTTTCTTTACCTGTACCTCCACTTTCCTCTTTCTTTACCAACCTGGCCTTCAACCCCTGTCCGCTCCAGCATATTATTCACACAGAATATGAATAAAAAAATTAATAAATAAAATAAAGAGATTAACAAGAGGAGCCTACAGAGAGTCTACAGTGCTCGTCTTGGGAAAGCAAATGTGTTTGGCACAACAAAGCCTTCAGACCATAATTCTGCTTGTTCCAACTGCCAGATAGGAAAGGGTTTAAAAAAAATGAAGGTGAATGCAGACTCTAGAGTTACCCCAACATTCCTGACAGACGACTTAACAAATGATGCAAGGGGGCCAATGGCTTTCATTACACTGGGCACAAATCTGTCCGGGGCAGAGACAAGGACTTCCATTTTATCTTCATTAAGTTGGAGAAAGTTGTTAACTATCCAACTTTTCATGGAGTCTAAGGACCTATTTAAGATCTGCAGCTTAGAAGTATCTTGGGGCTTAAAAGAGATATATAATTGAATATCATCTGCACAGTAGTGATAGCAAATGCCTTTAAAGATACTTAAAATGTGCTGAAGTGGGAGGAGGTATAACAGAAAAAATAAGTGGTAAGTGGACTGGTTCTTATATAGGGCTTTTCTACTCTATCTGAGCACTGCAATACAGAACCTTGTGTCACACCATAGCTATGAGAAGAAGAGGACGAGCCGCAGAAAAGTATAGTTCAGACAAATACAATGTGAGCCACTTCAAAGCAGATCCAGATACTCCCACCCCGTAGTTCAGCCTATCAAGCAAAACATGGTGGTCAACAGCATCGAAACAGAGGTAAGATTCAAGATTCAAGGTGTTTATTGTCATGTGTCACAAGAGAAAAGGCATTTCTTTGTGCAATTAAATTCTTTCTTTGCTCTCCACCCACAGATGCCGATTAATATATACAATAGAAATAGAACATATAAATACAAATAGTACAAATAAATAGCTGAAGACAGAAAAGGAGACAAAATATGGAGATTTGAAACAGATGTGTGCAAAAGAGCTATAGCTTAATATGCTGGCTTAATATGTAAGATGACCAGACATGCAAAAAAAAATTATTATTACTGTTCAAAATGTGTCAGCTGTTCAAGAGTCTGATGGCAGTGGGGAAGAAGGAGTTATTGAGTTGAGATGTTCTGGATTTCACACTTCTAAACCTTCGTCTCGAGGGCAGAAGTGTGAACAGTCCGTGTTGGGGGTGTGTGGGGTCTTTGAGGATGGAGGCAGCTCTCCTCTGGACTCTGCGATGGTAGATGCTCTGCGGAGAGGGCAGCGGAGTGCTGATGATCTTCTCCACGGTTGTTATTACTCTCTGCAGGCATTTGCGGTCCATAGCAGTAGTGCTGCTGTACCATGCAGTGATGCAGCTGGTCAGGGTGCTCTCCACAATGCAGCTGTAGAACCTGCTGAGGATCTTGGCCGACATACCAAATTTCCTCAGCCTCCTCAGGAAATACAGCCGCTGCTGAGTCTTCTTGACCAGCTGTGTGGTGTTCAGTGTCCAGGTGAGGTGCTCAGAGATGTAGACGCCCAGGTACCTAAAGCTGCTCACCCTCTCCACTTCAAGGCAGCGGTGGGTGAGGCCTCCACTTCTTCCTTGTGTCCACTATCATCTCCTTTGTCTTGTCAGTGTTGAGGGTGAGGTTGTTGTCCTCATTCCATGACACCAGACCGGCCACCTCTCTCCTGTAAGCCGCTTCGTCCCCTCCAGTGATGCGACCAATCACTGCAGTGTCGTCCGCGAACTTCAAAATGATGTTGTCTTTGTTGGAGGCGACACAGTCATGGGTGTACAGGGTGTAGAGGATGGGGCTGAGGACAAAACCTTGTGGGACGCCAGTGTTTGTAATAATGCTGATTGAAGTCCTGTTGCCGATCCTGATGGACTGGGGCTTGCCAGTCAAAAAGCCCTTTAGCCAGTCACATAGGGTGGTCCAATATTAGTAGAACGGAAAACTCTTCTGCATCGCTTTGCACAGAGTGTCACTGGGCACTCTAAGAAGAGCAGTTCCAGTAGAATGAGCTCTACAGTATTCTTAAAAATAAGCAGGGACTTGACCAGAGCAGCTCTCACCCAGCAAATTGTCGATGCATAGTGCTGCGCAAAGCCCCAGTACACCAACAACCTGTTCACATTTCAAATAGTTTTTCCCATTTCACGATACACCCACCAAGACTCTGGTTATTGTTGGTTTTGTTTGTGTCATGGACCTGGGCCGGTGACCCAGTGTTTTGTAACTGTTTTATTTGTGTTTCTTGATTATTTGTTGTTCAGGATTGTCACTGTTAATATTTTGGTTTCTGTCCTAGCATTTCTAGTTCTCAGGTTTTGTATTTTGAGCTCCTTCAGCTCTGTGTTTTTGTGTCTGCCCTAGTCCCATGTCTCTGTGTTCCCTCCCTGTTGCTATGTTTGATGTCTTAGTGGTAAGCTAGTGTTTGCGCATACCTTTTATATTTCCTGTTTTACCTTGAGACTATCAAGGACTATCAGGGCAGGGACTACCTGTCCTGTGTGTAGTGTGCCTGGTTTTGCTTCCCCTTGTCTCGTGAGCTCTGATTTCTCCCAGCTGTGTTTCCCCCCTGTTTCCCATTCCCTGATTGCTCCTGTGCATATTTAAGCCCTGTGTTTTCTTCTGCTTGTTAGTGGTCTGTCTGCGTTTCTCTGCAAAGTCATCCTGTGAGCAATGTTCTCTCTAATTTTTCATGAGTCTGACCAAACACAGAAACTCCCTGAGTGGTCCCTTGGACCACTGTGAGCAACAGCAGACGTGTGCACTGTGGTCACCTGCAGGCCTGACAACAGGAGATGAATCACTGCTGTAACACCTGTAACATTCAGTAGTCGCTTCATTGTTCTGACACACACAACAAAACTATTGACTACACTACACACTAACTACACAAGATTTGCGCTAAACGTTGCAAATCTCTCACATCTCAAAACACCACCGTCACTCCTAAACTTCCCCCTTCCTAAACAACTAAATGCCATGTTGCCATATCATTTTTGATTGGTCGACATGGTACATTTTTCAACGAATAGGAAAGGGTGGGGTTTTTTTGGTTTTCTTTTTGCTCACAGGCGAAGAGTGCTGTCAAGCGCTTTCCTTATAAAACGCCGTTTTTACCGTTTCAGTAAATATAAACAACGACA